CTCATTCAGGCTTGTGTAAATATGCTCTATGATGTTTACACAACGAAATAGCCTAATGATGTATTTCTCAGAACATATCCCCATTGTGAAGCATCTTCTATTGCTTGTTTCTCTGGAGAACCCCAACTAATACAATACCAGAACAAAACAAGTCCTGATTTATAGTGTTTGCTAGTGCCTGTGGTGTAAATTCTCCCGCCACGGGTGATTTCAGGCTGCCAGTGCCACTGAACATGGATGTGGAGGGTGTGCATGACGGCTCTTGCTAGCTGGCCCAAGGCAGCCCCCATATGCCATTGACTCCCCTCCCACATACACCATTCTCACTCCTCCCTCGGAGAAGTCAGATTTCAAGTTTGCGGGTGGGGATACTGGAAGTTCCAAGTCAGGCATGGGAGTTCTCTTCCACGTTCGGCTTCCATGAGGTCAGGTGGAGAACAGATTGCTTGTTTACCCTCCTGCCACATGTCCAAGGTGGTGAACCAAGCCACGCTTCTCAGGTGGCCCTCTTGCTCCTTCCTTGGCATCCTCTCACAGGTCTTGATGTCAGACCATGGCCTCAAAGTTGTGAAGCCGCTGCTTCTGAGACTCACGCTTGGACCTGGGGGAGGGAGCGCAATGCTGATTGTCCAGTCTAGAGCCTAAGCCCACCTTACTAAGGAGCTCTGGGTGGGGCTCTCAGGAACCAGCCCAGATTGTCAGTAATGGATTAATTGATTGAGACTGGATCTTGCTCTGTCGCCCAGCCTGGAGAGCATGGCTCATAGGTCAAAATTCCTGGGCTCAAGCGTTCCTCCCATCGTAGCCTCCCGAGTAGTTGGGGCTGCAGGTGTGCGCCACCATGCCTGGTTAATTGTTTGAGATGGGAGTCTCGCTGTGCTGCCCAAGCTGGTCTCAAACTCCTGGGCTCAAGCTGTCTTTCTGTCTCCGTCTCCTGAGTAACTGGGATTATAGGTGTCAGCCACCATGCCCAGCTAGGTGCCCCATTTTCTAATCATTCTTTGGATCTGCTCCCTAGGAGGGTTGATGGACAGAGCAAGATTCAGCTATTTCTGGTCCCTTGGCTCCACAACCTTTACATCATCAAAATGCCACTTCCTGTGCTCAATGGAGCATGCCAGGGCGGTCACCTGCAGCGATGAGTGGGCATGCAGGATAAAACCCATGGGTCATCTCAACACGAGGACATAACCGGGAAGCATATTTTTGAAGCACATCTACATTTAACTTGTGCAATGTGTGCATGTGTGCAATTGTTCTTATTTAAGTCACTGCGAGTGGATTCCCCACTGAGCTGAGTTCAGTGCGGTGAGCCTGAAGGGCTACATGCAGGGCTCAGCCATGGGGGGACCTCATGTCGCTCCTCCTGGGTCTGGAGTGACTTATTGACTCAGTTGGTTCAGGCTAAGGCTCTTGGAGCACTTTGGCATAAGACAAGATATGTCTGCATCCCATTTAACTTGTTAATAGCTTTAATATGATTTTGAGGCAAATCATTCTCATCTGTAAGATGGGGATAAAAATGGACCATTTTTGTTGTAAGATGGTGAAGATTAAACGAGATATTGTGTGTCATATGTTACTGAAATGTAAGGTAATTTTTAGGGCTTAAACCACAAAAGCTATTTTAAAAAATAACAATTTCTTCTTTAAAGAGGAGAATACACAAAATTAAATTTGTGAAACTGAACAATTGGAACAGAAATTTTCTAATGGGGTCCTTTCAGATAACTTTAGGATGAGACCCACACATCACACGTGTTTTAAGAAAATGTCCACCATGTATATCTGTACATTTTCATAAAAACCTAATCACTAAAATCATGTATGTGCTCACTTAAGCTTCACAACCCTGTAGCAGTTAGAGTGAGCTAACCTGCTCTCATGAGTAGTTCCAAATGCATAGTGGCTCAATTACAAATGAAGTTTATTTCTTGCTCCCATAACAGCCCAGGGCAGGGTTCAGGTTGATGGGCAGCTCTCCTCCACACAGTGACTCAGGTCAGGGATCCAGGTTCTTTCCAACCCAAGACTCTCCTACCACCTATGACCTGGTTGCCATTCATATCCAGGGAGTGGAAGGGGGAAAGAGCCAGGAGACCTCCAAGGGTTTTACTGCTTCTGTTCATGATCCCGTGAAAAAAAACTCTTAGTAGGACATGCCTGACTGCAAGGGAGGCTGGGAAATGTAGTCTAGCTGTTGTGTACAAAGAAGGGAGGAATGCATTTTATGGTCAGCTAGTGGTTTCCACCAGTTTGTAGATGAGGACGATAGCCTCAACAGGATTAACTAACTGGCTAAGTTTGTTCATCACAACCAAGTGACAAAGTGAGGACTGCACCCGGAGCTCCAGATGACCATGTCTGGTGCCTTAAAAAGCACAACCTCCACCCTGACCTGACCTGAGGCACCATCTCTCACCTGGACTCTTGCAGTGCCTTCTCACTGGTCTACTCTCTGCCGTGCAGATAGAGGGACCCTCTCCACACCTACTCTGATCACCCTGTGACAGTGAGACTTGTTGCTCCCCCTATGTTCTGTTAGCCCTTGTCCATGGGCACACAGGCTCACAGAGGGCAACTGAGCCCAGGCCTCGCTCCACGCCGTGGTCCCCCAGGCAAGAAACAACAAAGACTAGCTTCCAGGCCATACTTTTATTTGAACAGAAGTGGTGGCCCATGGCCACGGAACACATGTTCTAGAGTAGACACAGTGCCTGCGGCTGCAAGAGCCTAATGGGGGAGACTCATGCCTTTCTCCTTGGTCTCCATGATCAAAAAGAAAATAAAAATCACATACATACACAGCCACACCCATCCCACCCCTCCCTTCCCTTTCAGTAATATCCAATTATTCATCCTTCCGGCCAAAGAAACTGGCTGCAATTCTGATTTTACAGAAAACCTTCATGCAGCCAAGAAACTCAGGGCTCTGGAGGGGAGAGGCCTACTCTGTTACTTTCCACATGCACTGCCCCCGGCACCAAGTTTAACTCCACCTGCAACCACGGCGTGGATGGACAGTGATGGGATTGGCTACAAGAAAAAGCTGCAAACTCAGCTTATCATGCTGGGAAGACTGCCTCTTTCCAGGCAGGATTTTCCTGGAGCAACATTACCCTGAGGCTGGCGCCATTCCAAAATACCTTCCCTCCCAAGCCCCAGGTTGTGGGTAAGGTCTGGATTTTGGTCATAGGACGAAGGGTGACAGAGGCTGCTGGCATCTCTGGCCACAGTCCCAGTGGCTTAGGGATGGAGGCTTCACTCAGCTGCTGGATTAACTAGCTCGTGTTAACCATTCACCTACAGCAAGTAGAATCATCAGTTTTGCACGGAGCCAGGAAGCACACGGGCCCACTTTAAGAGCTAATGCCAGAATTCATGTGCTTTGCAAAATAGAGAACGAGGTTCATTTATTTATTTTTCTTCTGCCCCCTCCAGAGGCCAAATGGGTGAGGGTGGTTGCTTTGCTTGCTGAGTGCCACGGATGCGCCCAGCCCTCGCAGGACCGTGCTAAGACATGCCAAGTCTGGGCAGGATGGGAGAGCACCCGCCATTCAAAGCATGACTCTAAGAGGATTCCAGCACCCGGAGCAACGAGACTGCCCCTTCCCTGCAGTCTGGAGATGAGCCTCTCTGAAAATGAGATGGGAGCTGGCCTTGGGGCTGAAGGAAGGACCTTGAACGATGGACCCCCAAGCGGCCACCTGGATCACTCATTTTTTCCTCTGACTTTCAACACAAACGAGGCTCTCCCTGGGTTTTGCGACCACGTGTCTAAGACAGTCAGAAGGGAGGACTTGTTGGTACCGATGTGACAAGAGGAAACAGCAGCTCAGAGGACAAATGACTTGCCACTTTGCACAGCTCGCTGACGAAAGAGCAGGGACAGAAGCCTAGGTCTCCTGACTCACATGTCACAGCCGTGACTGGCTCAGTTCCCTTAAGTGACACAATTCCTTCCCAGATTCTGGGTTCAATTGAGGCTGGACAAGTTCTTAAGATGGAATTGCATAAACCACCAAGTTTTGATAACAAGAGGGGGACAGACTTCGGGAGGCCCCCCCATCCCTCTGCAACGGAAATGGAGCTAACTTTTCTCTGAGCTTAGGATTTGTAAGGCACTGAAATTAACTACAGTG